CGCTCCTCCAGTCTCAAATCTTCTGCGGCCTTTAACAGGATAATAATTCATTTCCCACCATTCACAGTTTTTGTTTGTACATAGGCTACAAAGTATACTTGGGTTTCATCAAACCAGAGTACAGTAGCAGCCATTCAAAATGGCCCTTCCCAGTCAAAAGCCAGCCGAATCGCAGCAAATTCCCCTCCAAATTTAGTGCACTGGCCTTCTCATGGGCGTGCATTTTTCTTTTTTACTCTGACTCCACCCTTTCACTAAATTACAGGGTCTGACCAGGAGATAAGATTTCTCTTTAGATCTTAATGTCCACAAATCATGAAAGAATATTTTAGATGTTTAAAATGGAATTGTGGGGGACTATCCAAAGACCAGCCAAGGGCCCATAAAGGAAAGTGGGGAAATTTTGAATGGCTACTTCTGCATCTTCCTCCGGATACTTGCCCCCAGTTAGATTGTGGATCGATCGGTACTCCATTAAAATTGCAGAGCTTGAGAGGCTATTATATGATCTATTCCAACTTTGATATCCTCCAAAACTTTATCCCATACCTCTGCATAATGCCGGTTATCTGAAACATTCACAGAACTGTTTTATTTTTACGGAGATTAATTCAGATTTGTGGTTGTATTGGCCATACAGCTGCAGTTCAAAGACATCAGAACAGCTTTTGAAGGAACAATAAAAGTGCAAACAGATGAATAGTTCTGTTGGGATTTAAAAAACAAACAGTTTTCATCGCAATTCTGCTATTGCTGTATGAGATGCTGAGATTACACTAATTTAGAGCTATAGACAACAGATCCTAGGACACAAATTTGTTAAATTGAAACAAGCTTTAGTAAAGAGTTTTTCTGTCTTTATCACCTTATCTTGACACTTTTGTGACACTAACAAAAATAGTAGAAACGATGATCGACACATCCACTTCTGAATGAGGAAATGCCATGTTTTACAAGTGATTTGTTCAATCAAACGTCTGTCTTTAATTATATATTTTTTGTGCTTAAAATCTTGTGTTGGGTCATCTCTGTGTATTTTACTAATGCTGGATACAAGACAGTCTAGAAACTCTAGCAAAACATTTCCCACATTGTTTCAAAAATGTTTTGTCAATTTTGTTTTCAGGAAATTGGGTACAAAAATTGCTTTAAAATGACATTGCTTCCAATAAACGTATTTGTCTAAATGTCGTTACAGGAGTGTGCAGGCGAACCCCTTTTCTCGCTCTTTTGTGCCATCAAGCAGCAGATGGAGAAAGGCCCCATTGACTCTATCACAGGAGAGGCTCGCTACTCGCTCAGTGAAGACAAGCTCATCAGACAACAGATTGACTACAAGACACTGGTGAGGGATTCACCTGCCCTGGGATACTAGGGCTAAAGGGAGATGCTTAATATGCTTTCAGGGACAAGAAGAGTGAATAAGGTGGTCATGGGTGGTCGCTCATGAGATGTGGAAAGGGAAACAGAAGTTGTTGTTTTCACGCTTGACATGAACAGGGGGCACAAGAGGGGTGACCTCACTGGTGGTGAGAGCCATCAAGGAAAAAGCAGAGCTTCTATGCATGTATGACTGTGCACAAGCTGGGAAGCTATAAAGAATTGTCCTTTAGTATCCTCTTTCTCATTAACCAAATCTGTCTGCTAGTCCTCTCTAAAGATCAATGGCAATTCAGATGTGGCTTTGATCCATTTGTGTTCAACACTACAGCAGATTTCACAGATTTTTAACTTGTTGTGATTGTGATTAAAAATGCTTCCAAATGCTCACAAAATGGCTTTTGTTGCCTCATCACTAAAATGCATTCTCTTTATAATAAAACTATAATAATAAATGACTCGATGTATCTTAATATTTCAGGTAGAAAAATCCCAAAAAGTTGAGTAAGACTAAAAGACAGCTTTTTCAGTGAAGGACCCACCCCCCTTTTGACTAATAACAAATGTATTATTTATGTTAACATCTGAAAAAAATTAAAAAGGTTATTCAACTAATTTAATATCAAATAATCAAATTTGCCATAAACTCACTACTCTATATTATTAATCAAGTGGTATAAACGACTGCAGTTACTAAAAAAACAGTATTCAAAAAATATAAATGAGTAATGAATCTATTAAAAGCCCATCACAGAAGAATAAAATGAATTCAATTCTGTTTTATCTTCTAACAAGCAATAAAGTGTTAGAATTCATTAGGTACCAAGTACACTGCATCCAAAGCTTAATTAAGACAACAGTTTAACAAATGAAGATATGCAGATTAAAGGACACAATATACCCTTAACACAAAATAAAGCTTGCATAAAGCTTTTTTTTTTTTTTTTACTTTTCTGAGCTGTGTCAAAACTCAGTGTTTGAGATATAGATTTACTGGCACCTCATGCTGTTCTTTGATGGCGTCAATTTTATTCATGTCTCTGCTTCAGGTGGTCAACTGCATACATCCAGAGAATGAGAAAAGCCCAGAGATCCAAGTAAAGGTCCTGAACTGTGATACAATAAGTCAGGTGAAGGAGAAAATTCTGGATGCCATATACAAAAACGTCCTTTATTCACACCGCCTGAAGGCTTCAGATATGGACCTAGGTAAGTAACTCAGGCTTGATATATGAAAATTATCTAAGAATTTTATATTTTCCTTTTTTTTTCTTTTTTGGTGGCAACTTTAAAAAAAGTTATTAAACATACCAATTACACAATCTGTATAAAGTTGTCAGATTTCGAACTGTTGGTGATGAGTTTGGAACTTTTCAACATAAAACTGCATCCAGAAACCTTAAATTGATTTAATAAGGTCTCATTTCTGCTACACAAAACAAGTTGGAACAGAAATGTGACCTCATACAGAGAGGTTACTTTATTATCAGTTTTAAAAACTGATCCAAGAAAAAAAAAAAAAACTGCACGTTTTATTTTAGTCAGTCCTTTAGTTTCAGAAGAGGAACCCAGGTTGGGAATAAAATTGATGGCTTAAAACTTATTAGTTTATAAAATAATATACTTACAGCTATAATTATTTTACTGAGCACTTTTCAATCTATCTTCCAAAAAAAAAGCCATATGACATGACTACAAAGCTACCAGCACATGGTCAACCACTGGTAGTCTTAGTAAAGACCACATTAACTAGAGATGCACCCCAGAGACGAACTCCTTCACACACTCTGTGTGACGGAGAAAGAAGCCATCGTTGTTGTTTACACACTGTTTATCTAAGGTAAAACTAAAATTGAACCTTTTGGCTTATCTGCAAAACATTGTGTTTAAAAAAAAAAAAAGAACACTGCACCCTACTCAAACAAAATCCCTCCACCATACAGTAACACATGATGGTGGGGGCATGATGCTGTGGGGTTTTCTTTAGCAGGCAGATTGAAGGTGTTAAGAGTTGATGGTAATATGAATACTGCAACATCCAGGACATGGTTATTATGGTTATTTACTTACCCTGACTTCTTTTAAGCAGTGAGTAAAAAACAATAGTGCTGAGATTTATCAAAGTTTTCCAAAGAAGTACATACTTTCTTAAAAAGTTTCTATATAATGAAACATTTTCATTTTTTCCTCAAAAGGATTGGTTGAAATTTTGACTTTATTGGTCCAGATACCTAAAAATGGTATTTTCTGACCAGAAACGGTCCATAATCTACGCTTTTGTTGTCTGAGTCAAATGATCAATTGGGAAATCAATCAAAACCACCTTCTTCTTTTTTTTGTGGTTACATTATAAATGGACTTTTCTTACAAGTTACCTAAATATTTCAGCACCTAATGTATTCAGCTATTTAACTAGTTGCTGATAATTAACAGGAATGGAGTGATAGAGCTGATGAGCAAAGGGGGTTTTCTAGCAGTATTGACCTGCAGGCTGTCTCATTCTCTTTCTATGAGTTAATATTTATTACCAAATTGATTTTCTTAAGCTCCTCCTTTGTGTTCTTTCTGGTATATTTATAACCGAACCCATACAGTATCTAAAATGGGCAGAGTGCATACCATCGGGAATCTGTGAGACCGCTAAGTGGAAAGGCCGGTCATCCTTTTGATGACACTCTTGGATAAAATTGTTTGATGGACCCCTTTGGGAGGGATTTCTATCTTATTGAGTTGTTGTTAAAGTGAATTAGGAATTGGAGGTAACCCGCTCTCTGGGGTATGTTTGCATGCATTACCACAAGCTCACTAGAGAACATGTATATGAATATACTTTTTCATTAATCCTATATTCAACAAATGTATCCAACATGTTGAGCAAGATTGTCGAAAGTTCTTTTAATCATGAATCCATTAATACACCCAGATCGTTCATGCCTGGAGGTTTTTAATTTGCCAACATAATTAGGATCTTGGTCTTTCATTCTTTTGTGACAGAAACCATTTAATTGAACCTGGCTTTACTTTAGATTGTGTTTTAGAGGGAAAAAAAAGGTAAACATGTAGTACCAGTCTCATGATCTCCAACTCTCAGACATACACAGACTGATTACAGCAGCTAATAAGGGTAATGGGATTTGTGGCAGCTCTGTCTTCAGATAAATTGACCAAGAGTATTGTTCTCCTTGGTGCTGTCTTCAATTCTACTAGGCTACAAGCAACAATCCTCCTTAGAACATAATTGAAAATTAATCCTAAGTACAAAATAGGAAATGGTTTGTGCTGCTTTGTGTCAACATGTAGTGTCTTTCAAAAGTATTTAAACTTTTCACATTTTATCAACTTAAAACACAATAACCTTTTATGCAATGAAACTGGCACAGAGTACTGACCTGTCAGAAGAAACATTATACATGCTGGGCGATATTCTAAATATTTTTATTTGTATCCTCTTCCTTTTGTTATGAATAACTCTAAAAAGGACAGTTCATGCAGAATTAAGTAGCTAGATTAAATAGATGGCATCTATGTCTAATTTACACAACCCCTCTGAATCCATGCTGAAAATGGTCAGGGCACGATAACAGAGATAACTGTTGAATGTAAATGGAAACCAACTGAACTGGACCGTGCCAGACACAACCAACCTGTGCTAAATCTACAACTAGTTTAACAGTAGGGCTCGGCACGGTTCAGTTGTGGCTCAGTTCCCTGATAACAAAGAGTGCATAAGCAGACCGCGTCATCTCCTATTTACAATCAGATGACCGTGGGTATTCTGGGTTTTCCGGATTCCGGTTAATGTCTGTGTAAATAAATATGTTCTTTGAAGGTGTCAGAGGGTATGCAGAGAACAGAGATCAACTGCCATAATCAAAAAGCTATAACTGATTATTTTAGATCAGAGGAGTCCAAAGTCAACTCTTAAGGTGTTGCCCGTAAGATGGTAGATAATGACCAAGCCAAGATCCTATGGGACTTCCAGATACAGACAGACCGAATGGTAATGGCAAACTAACCGGACATTGTGGTGGTGGACAAAAAGCAGAGAAAAGCAGTTGTGATTGACATAGCAATACCAAGTGACTGCAACATCAGGAAAAAAGAACATAAGAAACTAGAGAAATACCAGGGTCTCAGGGAAAAAATGGAGAAAACCTGGAAGGTCAAGGCATCAGTGGTACTTGGGGCACTCGGGGCAGTGACCCCCAAACTTGAGGAGTGGTTACAGCAGATCCCTGGAAATACATCAGACATCTCGGTCCAGAAAGGTGCAGTTTTAGGAACAGCAAAGATACTGTGCAGAACCCACTTAGCTCCCAGGCCTCTGGTAGAGGACCCGAGCTCGGAGGAAAAAAGGGGGAAGACCGCCCGCGGTGGGTGAGGAAGATTTTTTTTTCTTTTTGTTTTAATTTTATTTACAATTCTTTTTCACAACTCTACACTACATCACATTGTTTTCCCAATCTAAGACACTGAAGTCAAGCTGAATTTCTAATTACAAATATATTATAGCTCTTTGTAGAGCAACATAGCCTCCTTCATTGCATCTTTTCAAAGCGGCATGTCCTCGTCTTTGTTTGCACCCATACTGTCAGCTCACACAAACATACACAGACCCCTTCTGATTAGATTGATTAGAAAACTCCAGATTTGGCAACAAGGGGGATCTTTGTTTGCTCTGGTTTTACCCTATGTTTATTGTTATTATTAAATCTTTTCTGCCATTCCTTTTGCTCTGTGCCTCTTCATTTGTTTACTGAGCCTTGACTGGAGACCTGAGCTCATTTGCATCTTTATAGAAAGATGTACTGCTCAGACAAAAACAACAGGAGAATCTTTATTTCCTGCAGATTTTTCAGATGCGAACACTATTCTGGTGGATCCTCCAAAGACAGGCCTCATCATGCAGCACAGTGATTGCTGCTTAGGATTTCTGTTTGTGATCAGAATAGCAGATGACAGCGGCCGACCTCTGCAAGGAGCAGACAGAATGATATATTGAGAAACTCTTTATATCTCAAGATGAACAGAAAAGCCAACCGCCTGTTTTCAACATGACTTCCTTTTCCTCTTTTAAATAATGTTTCTGGAGTATTTAAGAAAGCTGTTATTTGCTGATGCTGTACAGATTTGGAAGTTCTATCATAAATGTTGTTAAAGCCGATTCTGTGTAAATCCCTCCCTGTTAATATTGAAGCAATAGGAATTAGATATATACGTTAACTTGGTCTGCTTTTACTCAAACTAATGCACCACTAGGGCTAAAAGCTGCTGTTTTGGTTTTACTTTGGGAGAGCTGGAAACCAACAGTACTTCTAAGAGACTAGAGAACAAAGAATATTGCAGTAGATGAGAAAGTAGGGGTCTTGTAAGCATCAAACTATTTCACCAGCAAAAAAACAGACAGTGAGGTTAATTTCCAAAATGGAGAGTATATAAGATAAATTGAACTTTCATGTTCCCCATTTAATTGTACTTATATTGCAAAGCTATTTTCTTTTCTTCTTTTCAGTTTAAGAATCGGAAGGTAATCAATTCTATGCACATATATTAGACTTGATGTCAAATTAAAATCATTTCTTTTGACTGTTTTGTCAAACTAGATTTTGTGCAAAAATAATCCATCTGTGCATTATTCTGTTGCTTGCGGCTACTGGTTAGCCCAAAACATTTACAGTCCTGGCAGAGTTGAGCTGAAATCAATTGTTTAATTTTAGTATTGTTTTACTTTTGACTGGAGTAAAATGAGATATTGGCCCAGCCAGTGTCACAGCATGAACCTGTTAGAATATACAAACATTAAAAAACAAATGTTTTCGTTTGATGGAATTCCTCTACATTTCTTTTTAATCTCCTGTTTATTAAATGCCTATATATATTTTTTTTTTTCACAAAAACTACTTTCCAGGTTAAATGAAAATAGTTTCAAGTAGAAATATGCTGAGGGTGTGAATATAAATTTGGTTGAACTGTATGTGCTCTGAGATGGTTCATCAGATATCTTGAATAAATCTTCATGAGTTACTTTCTGGTTCTGCTTTCAAAGCTAAAAGTGCAAAAGGAGAACCAGGAAATGAATCTAGATTTAGTCCTGGCCTATGGTGTCATAAATGTAACTTTAAACTCAGGATTACACATTACCAAATGTGTACCAAATGTAAACATTACCTTTTATTTTCAGTATATTAGATTTAAAGCACAAGAAGCTTTAAAATCCACCTGAGTCATAAAAACAATACTTTTTTACCAAGTAATACAACATCATTCCCTTTTAGCACTTCACCTCCAAATATTGATTGCCAAATCCCCTGTGTGATAAAATGTTTAGTTGTTGTGGTTGAAAAGTGCTAGCTATTCCCAAAAGCAAAAACCAGACATTAGTACAACTGCCAAAAATTCTCTCCTCCTAGTCCCAAAGGAAGCACAGTATTTCAAACATGGCAACATTTGGTGGTTCCTGACAGACAGAGAGAAGGGATTAAAACCAAATCCTCCCAGTCAACAAAACAAAAGTCATGTGACTGTCAGTGATGTGAAGGTTTTGGTAAAATGGGTTAATATTTTCATTGCTTGTTCATTGCAGAGTGGCGCCAGGGTAGAGGACAGCGCATGATCCTCCAAGATGAAGACATAACCACAAAGATTGAAGGGGACTGGAAGAGACTCAACATGCTGTCCCACTATCAGGTAAATACTAATAATACAAAGATGACTGTATACAAAGCATTCAACAAAAAATATTGATGTTTGAAGAGTAAATGCATTATAGAAGGATTACTAACCAAAAATTGCTAATTTGGAATATTTCCCGAGCTTATTTATTTCTTCTAGGATGATCATTCTTCAGTTGAGATGCAAAGATACAAGGAAATCAATGGGGACTGATATTAATCAGGGGAACACTCTGCATATACAAAAAACTAAGCAAAACAAAACACAATAAGCCAAATTAAAATCTAAAGAACTCAACTCTAGTGTTACTGCTAGTTCTATATCACAGGATTGATTCATAGGAATGAAAAGTGTCAGAAATATTTTGGTTCAACAGCTAAATCTCATTTAGACTAGAAAGAAGCTCAGTGTGTCAAACTTACCACAATCAAAATAAACGTATGACTAATATTTTTACATTTCAAACTTGTAATTAATGGAATTAACTGGTTAAATCTAATTGGTTTGTTTTGCAGCTCTGTTATTACAATATTTTTTTAGATTGAGCAAAGCAACTAAAGAATTAATAAAAAATATAGATGAATTCTAAGATATTTAACACAAAACATTTCACTTGGTATGTTTTGTAACTTGAAGATTACAGTAAGTGTTCATGTAGCAAAAACAACCTGCTTACCAACATGGTGTTAATAATTCATACGGCTAAGGAAGGAATAAGTGTCTCCTCCAAAGTGCAAATTGCGTGGTGCCTAAATTAAATGTCAGCAGCAGCAAGTGTCAATAGGACGGGAGTACGATATGTGGGTGGAAATGGATAAGAGAGCTGATTTGAATGGGAGATAAGATAATGAAGACCGAAGTTAATTCATTTTTTTTCAGGCTGAGAAAAAGGGCAACTTCTCCTTCACGGACTTAAAAAAATGGAAAACACTCAAAGCCACTCAGAAATTACAAGTATGCAAAGGAAAGAAAAAGGGAAACATTCATTGTTCAAAAGAAGTCACTTAAATAGTGCGTCTTTAGAGGGTGGAAATATCAAAGCTTTGAGAAGGTGGATGGTATATAAGATGTAAACCTGACAGACACTGATCAGAATCACTATTGCTATGCTATTCTTATCAGTCTGATTTAATAACATTTTCAAAGCAAACCTTCTTCCCCCATAATGCCTTTAGCTGCCAAACTAAGAGAAACTTTTGATTTGTAAAACCATATGTAACCACAAGCAGAATAAATCTGCCCATTACAACACATTACTGTCGTCTTTCTTTCGGGAAACAGAGCTCTGTTTTCTGTCTTTATTCCCCAAATGTTATTTTCTCAAATGCCACTCCTCCCTTTCACATTTCATTATGTCCCACTTCTCATTGTATATCGATTTCACATATAAGAACAGCGATAGGGGGAACTACTTGAGAGTCTTGGAGGGTTGTTGGGTTCCCCACAATGGGAAATCAAGATCTGCCCTGTGGGCCTCCTGCTTACATTGATATAAACATATTATGCATGAGAAGTAGATTGAGAGATCGGTTGAAATAATGACACAATCTCAATAAAGCCTTAGTTTGCATACGCACATATGTATGCAGTCTTTTTCCTGCTTGTCCAATCCACCTATCCGCTAATAAAAACCACTTCAATTAACCCCAAAGCATTGCCCGATTATGCAAAACAAGAGTCATTTGCGTGTGTGTGTGGCTGGAAAAGTCTCCATCTCGGTTGTATTATCTGAATCCAGTTTCACTGATTGTTGGAGAGGGAGATGATTGACTTATTCATTCATTTACTCCGCTTGTTTCTGCACATTGACACAAGCACACAACCTTGGAGAAAATGTATTATTGAATGGAGACTATGGGACGTCCCCTTTCACACAGGCCTCTGCAATGCTCTGTTAAACCCTCACTCCCCCCTGTCATTCATCCTAGGGATGTGTGGGCTGAGCAGTGCGCATAAGGGTAATAACACATTCTGTGTTTACTCACATGAAACCAGAAAAGATGAAAGGAAATATAGAAAATTACACCAACACAGTGATGTATACTTCTCACTGCTTGGGGTAGAAGCCTTCCAAAATGAAAATCTCAAAACAAACAGTTTGGTGTTTGAAATGTCTTCTCATGATGTTTACGTGTTGTTTTTCAGGTACCTGATAATGCTGTGATGGCCCTTGTTCCCAAGCAGGTTACGGCTTACAACTCGGTAAATAACTCCACAGTGTCCAGAACATCTGCAAGTAAATATGGTGAGAATTCATTCCAGAACATCTTTCAACTTCCAGTATGTTGCATGGAAATATTTTACAATATTTGTACCAGAAAGTATGTGCATGTCTGTCAAACAGAAAAACAAGTCAAACATGATTTAAGGGTATAGTGGAGGATTTTCAAAAAGACCAACCCTCTCCACTTGAAAAAAAAAAATGCACATGCACAACCCTGTAATCACTCCCAAGAAGAAACGCCTATTGAATGGGTGTAAGAGCGTGCACAATCCCATTTCTCCTCGTGCACACTCCGTTTAAAAGTTGCTGTTTAAATCGCTCATGCAAGCTTACTTTCTAAAAGAAGATTTGCAATTTTTCCACTATGTCAGACTCACCACCAGTAAGTGAAAATGGGGACGAGCACATAGGACGGCCTTACGTAAACATATCGCCAGAATAATTGACAATTAGGAGGACCACTTATTTTGATGATCCATCCAGAAAAATAATATCCTCCCCTATACCTTTAATGATGTGTCGTGCATATATATCTGGTCGCATTTAGTTGGATACCCCTGAATAAAATCCCATGCAATCCTCTGGATTAAGAAGTTAATTGATTAGTAAAGGGAGTCAACATCGGTGGACAGTAGTGGTTGCTCTCAGTGTATACACAGCTTTTCTGTTGAGGCTTCAAATGTCTTTAAAAAACAAATGGAGAAATGTTTTCTGCTTAGATTAGACCAAGACTAAACATCTTAATTATAAAAAGTTGTTATGGAAATGGTTTCTTTTACCCAGGATGGGGAGCTCAGTCTATGCAGATATACCGGTATTTAAAAATTAATCAGTGAAGACAACCAGTGGGCAGAGATTAAGCTTCCAACGTCAAGATTGCCACTAAAGATGGAGCCATAATCTGATGGTTTGAAATATACTTGTGTAGAAAATATGCAAAGCCCCACCCGATTAAACACCAGTTTGCTTTGGTTTATCACATTGGGTCCAAACTGAATACATTCAGATTTGTGTTTGTAACTTGGCGAAATTAGTTTATAAGGCAGGAATACTGTACTTAGCGAGGCATCACATATGCACATTTTACAGCAGCAGAAGTATGTTTGTCAGGAAAAGAAAGCTGAGGTACAATTTAGAAAAGTTGAAAGGGTTTCTGAAATATAAAGAGACCAAATAGACCTTTCATTTAGCTATTCAGGCCTCTTGAGACACAGCAGAGTGTCCTCTCATCCTTCCATGTGTCCTCCGCCTGCCCGTCTGCTTCATTTCTTCTTGAGCCTGTCAAACTATCAAGTTAGATGCTGATCAAAGGGCTAGCTTTACTGGTCACAAACACTTCAGACACTTCAAATGCAATGCCACAAAATTAGCATAGCCTAATTTCCATATCGTCTAACCTCACCTTCCAGCCACCTAATGACACCACCTACATGAGAGATGCAACACATAAGAGATGGAGGAAGCTGGTAATATTTTCCTCTATTTTAATGAGACTGACTTGAAATATTAAATGTAATACATGAATGGCGTGGTACTTCAAATGAGACTTTGAACTCCCCTGAGTACAATTGGCAAATAACAAAGATGGAGACAAGGCAGAATTTGATGTACCTGAAGAAGAGGGACCTTTTACTTGAAGTTTATTTATACAAAAAGTATGACATGATGAGGGGGTGAATAAAGAAAAAAAATTTCTCTGTTAGAAACTGAAAAACAAAGCTCAACAAAAAGTAAATAGCTGCCCTTTTCTGTTCTTTACTAACAGTCTGGTTTTGCGCAGCATTGCTAAGCAACTACACAGCCATTTAAGCCTAACTTTTTTTTCCACTAATGAACTAAAATACAGTGAAGATAACAATGTGAAATAAAGTTGGTTATTTTCATAATACAGCTGCAATTAGCGGATGCTCACTGAAGTCCCCGTTAAGAGACATAAATATTTACATGTGTCAATAATTAGCTTTAAACACCCAATAAATAAACTCCCCCTCTTTCCATCTAACTCTCTGCCCCTTATTTCCCCTCTGGACAGATTGATTTCTGTCATCGTGAAAATCACCCTTTTTTAACACTTCTCTCCACAAACCGCACCCACTGATCAATTTTTTTTTTCACACTGTGTAAACATTCATTGAGCCATGTGTTTGGAAATGTCATCGCCACGCCGACCGCTGGGTGGGCCATACATATTTCATCTCGTTTGACACCTGTTCGATTTTCTGTCAGACAGCGATATAATGTCTTGTCAACTGAAGGAGATGCTATGAAAAATTAAGCATGCAGACTTTCTGAGAGTTTCAAAGGCAATCTAAGAGTCATGGAAAGTGAAAGCCTTGAGCCAAGACCTTGTTCTGTAATGACATTTAGGTTACAGTTGCTTCTTTGTTTTTGTTTTTTTTCATCTATTATGATTTTGCTGTCTCAACCCGCTTGTTGATTTCTTTTCTTGAGTCCTTTCAGCTAACCAGGTTTCTTTATAAATCTATTTTAATTCTTCATCACATCTACTTTTCCACAGCAAAATATATATATATATATATATGCATACGGTACATCCCTAGAATTTTAATATTTCACAGTAAAAGGTTCCAATGCAACATGTCAAAACAAATGTAGAAAAAAGAGAAAACAAGATATTCACAATTTATTACAAATAAAAATGTAAAAATTGTGGAATGTATGTTGTCAGCTCCCATTAAATCGATACAAAAAAAATGCCATTATACCAATGACCATCAGAACTCACCTAAACAGAATATATAAATCCTTTGTATGAATCCAGCTATTTAAAAAGATTATATATGTGTGTGTGTGTGCGTCTATGTTGTTTAGAAATGGAAAGACTTAAATAAAGGCATATTCATATTTCTGACCAACAACGTTAAGGTTCAGATCTTAATATGAAAACCTGTATCGTAAGGTGGTAAAGCCTGAAAATCCAGCTTCCCTGAATATATCTATTTAACCTATCTGACATTCAGCTTTTTGAGGTGTAACCCAAAGGTTGTGCAGCTGTAGCTGCAGCTAATCCTTCGTCAGAACAGTTGTACATCCTCCTTGTCAGATACTTCAGATTATTTAGAAAGGTCCCTGTCATTCAGAAAGTATGTCCTTCTTTGTATTTTTACTTTTCTTATATCTATCACATAATATTCCTTTGAAAACGATTGCAGTTTTTGGTAGGAACATGAAGAGGGGGAGAATGAATACTTAAGGAGAATGAATACTTACACTAGACACATATACAATGGCGTAACAACACAACAGTAGGTCCCTAAGCAACATTATTCGGGTGGGCCCCATACGAAGTTCAACACCCCATAACCCCGACCTGAAACGTGCCCCTTACATACACATCATTCTTTACTTTCACTAGACATGGATATACTTCATTCTGCTGTAAAATTAGTCTTAACGGGCTACCTTCAGTTTCACAGTCCCCCTCCTCACCCACGCTCTCCCCATTTATCTCCTGGTCGCAATCTTTACTCACTTTTAGAGCAACATCCACCTATTTTGGGAAGTTTTTTCTGTTCTTCCAGCAGCTCTTCTTTGCTTGTTCTTTTCTGGAATCTGCTTAAGTACCTCTTTTTGGTATTCATCGGAGCTAGCACATTGTATGTAAAGGTTATGGTTTTAATTCAGATTACCCATAATTCCAAGTCATAGTGTAAAAAATAAAATATTCAAATACATCGTTCTTTTAAGATCTTTTTTGCAGTTTGAAATATATTCTATGAGCATATTTTATACCAACCGTCTAATAAACTATATACAGTTATTAACATAGTAATTAAAAGTACCATTGTCTGCTTTACTATTGGTTTCGTGTTTAAATGGCTCACCATCATGTTGAAATCTGCCATGTGTTGGGGTATAAATAAGGTTCAGTCAGTTGATCTAGTATCAGGTGGGTTTAAGAGGAATTTTTAGCACAATTACATCTGCAAAGAGACGTCCTAAACCACAATTGCGAAGGGGACCTAACATGTTTCAGTGAAGGGGCCCCTAAGAGGTCGGGGGCCCCATACCGATATTTACGCCATTGAACATATAAATAAAGAAATGGGAAAAAAAAGTTGACCTTCTGATTCCCACTAACAAAGTTAATATTTTTCTTTCCAGAGAATATGATTAAGTACACTGGAAGCCCAGACAGCATGCGTTCCCGCACTCCTATGATCACGCCTGACCTGGAGAGTGGGGTGAAGGTCTGGCATCTGGTAAAGAACCATGAGCATGGAGACCAGAAAGAAGGCGATCGTGGCAGCAAGATGGTCTCTGAGATCTACCTGACACGACTTCTAGCTACCAAGGTAAGTAAAGCTGATTTACAGTCTCTTATTTTATGCTAAATTGGTGTTTGAGCATATTATGGCAGGATTTTAAATTCTTGGAACAGTTAAGCAGGTTAAAGGTTAATCGGTCACTCTAACCTTCCTGCTGTGTTACGACGACTCAGAACAGTCTTTTTTCATTTAAATATTCATGATTACTTGGGATGATTCATCTCAGTGGAAAATATTATTCAAATGTATTCTCTATACCCCCAGGTGAAAAAGGGAAAATAGATATTTCTGTTTATTTGCTCCTTTTATTACTGTTCCAGTGATGCAGCAGCATATCAAAAAGCTTGTGAATGTTACAAAAAAAAAAAAGATGTGGCCAAACAGAGCTGGTGATAAAAATGAGGCACTTTGAATGTGCCTTGGGACAATAGCCTCTAAGACGGGGAAAGAAAATAGCTAATTTGGTTTAGAGGGAAGTGTGACTTTGATCCTAGAGCTGAATGTAAATTCACAATCTGCTCTTAAAGCGCTTCGCCCTTCATATTTTCTTTCTTTTTCATCTACACTAACATTATTAGAAAGATGGAGCCAGATGTACTGAGGTAGTAAAAGAAAGAGGGTGGCTCGGCTCGGAAAATGTTCAGGCTGAAATTGCTTCAATCAGGAACATTTCACGTTGTTTTTTTCGCTCTCCATCTAAAGCTGGTTAAAAAGTTCACAGGAAGAATTCCAGCCCAGTTCTATAAATGTACAAGTAGCACAGGAAAGCCATGAAGAAAATATAGTAACCTTGGCACTGATAAACCAAACACTTTAAACCAGATTTTTTTTTTTTTTTTTTTACGCCCTATGTAAGTAAACTATTACTGAGCAGGTTTGCAATCTTTACATGATCTTTAAACAGAAGGAAAACATTTTGTTAGCAGGACCTGTATCAGAAACACAAAACTCTTAAAGCTCATAAGATATTTAGTCAAGTTAGTCAAGATCGATATTACAAAACGTGTAGGTTGAGGCTTACATTATCCCACATGACCTTAATATTTATATTTGTCCACGTTTGGAAATTAAGAATTGGATTAGGATTATTAGCAGGATGACATAAAATACCAACCTGTATTGACAATTCTAGGGCTGCAACTAATGATTATTTTGCAAATCAATTAATCTGTTGTTTTGATTAATCGATTATTTAAACGGATTGCAAAATATTCTTTAACAAAGACCTTTTACTGATTTAAATCTGGTGAATTTTTATCTTTCACCTTAAATGGTAAATGTTTATATACTTTTTTACAATCTTAGAATAATTACTGCTCTAAGTGGGTTGCTCTGTCAGCTAAAGGGATGTTTTAGAGTCTCTATTCTCCACTTAACGATTAATTGATTACTAAAGTAGTTGACGTTTGTTTCAGTAGTCAGTTAATCAGGATTGATTGTTTCAGCCCTGGACAATTCATAAGGAAAACACAGCATAGTGATAGGATTTGAGTTTAGCAAAAAGCTTTGAATTAAATGCAAACTAAAGCCTGCCATAATGTACAATATGCTCTTACTGTGCTTACAAATCTGTTGCAGATTATTTTTATAGCAGGTAGAAAGATTTTGTAAGAGACTCAGTCATCACAACAGGGGATCTGAGTAGTTACTTCCTTTTTTACTTTAGAGTTTCAAACACAGGAACAAGGAGTTCAGATTTTAAAGCTCTCACCCTATCGGAGGCTCCATAATGACAGGCTAAACTTATTTCACTTTATAAAATCCGGCTGATACAGCAAGTAAACAGCACTATAAAGACAGACTTTATTTTGAAGGGAAAATGTCAAGGTAAAAGAAAAAAAGGAGGAGTCACCCATTGTGCAGATGTGTTGGCAGAATCAGGTAATCAATTAACAGACTAGGAGATGTCTAACAGTAGCTGTGACACAAGACATAATAAGCAGCATATGAGAAACTGATAAACAAAGTGGTGATTGGAGACTAAGAGGAAGTCGGGGAGCTGCAGCAGCTGTCTGTCCTCCACACACCTTCACACATCCACCCATGTCAGTTCACAGCCACAGTGAGCCACTTTGCTTCTACGCTGTTATCCTGCTCCAAGGTGTAGAGGAAAGGAGCTTTCGGCTGTTGACAGGGCATCCTCTTTTAAGATGGATTGTTTTTGTGAAATAACCAGTTTATGTTGACTGGCCATCTTTCTTGGTGAGAAATGATTAGGCAGACAGGCGGTGTAATTGACTGCGCTTACCCCTTGCCTTGCCAGTAAATACCTCTCCCTGGCAACGCGGCTCATGCCTCTGATATTAGCTCCACCAGTGAGGCTTTGAGCGGGGGTACAGCAGGTGTTTGTACAGAATGGCAAAGGAAGGGGCTGCATTTTCTCACCTCACTTTTACATGAGTGAGTGGCTCTCCTTTCCTACAGTGTTCTGATTGTTTGCTTTCCTTATTGGGCGACATCTAAACATCCATATGATGCACTATGTTTGGAGTGCTGTCTAAAAACAGGGTGGAGGGGGTGGGGTTGTTGGCAGCAACCAGCTCCACCAGGGAACAAGAGAACCCTGCGATGATGACAATGTTGATACCAGTGTACCCCTTGGGAGAGAAGATGACGTAAAATGTCACAGGATGAGCACTTCTGTGACCGCACCAGGGTTCCTATGCAGCCTGGAAAAGTCTGCAGTTCTATTTAAGTATTTTGCAGTTATGTAAAAAAGAAAGTTAGGAATGAAGAATATTTTATTTGTGCAATAGTTGTACCACTTTTTTCCATCTATCTGCTTCCTTTTTATTTTCTTTCTCGCTATATTTCTTATCCTTCCTAATGTCTGTTATTTCTGTTTTTCTTCATTTTTTATTTAGTGTTTCCTTTATTCATTTGATATGTTGTCCTTTTTCATGACCTTTCTTTTACAATTTTGTCCTTTGTTCTGTCCTATATTTCATTTTCATGAATTTAATTATAATGGTCTAGAATAGCTTAGAGAAGGCAATAACATTTTTACAAAACCATTTTTACACAAATATGAGATAAATCAAAGGCACAAAATAAACCTTACAAACATACCAAAACAAATGTTAAAATTTGCACTATAAAATATGATATACCGTAAATTAAATTTATGGGAAGTGTAAAATAAGCTGGGCTTTTTTTAGTCCTTTAAATAACAACTAACCCCAAAATCAGACTTATTGTAACTGGTAAACTGTATACATATATTAGGTGCTGTCTCTATGTTCTACTAAAATATTTTGACAATTTACTGCACATTGTTAAAACCTGGTTTTGTGTCTACAGTAAAACTGATGCATTTTGCGTGTTTTACATGTGTAATGCCTTTAAATTCTTAATGCCTGTGTTACCTCAGAAGATATTTTAAATTAATCAAGAAAAACTGACATCTGCCGCTGTGGTATATAAGGCAGGTCTGTCTCATACATACTTCCGCAGCATTTTGGAGTTGGAATGGTGATATTTTGATTATCAGGTTAGCAATAGATTAACTTAGCATTCAGTTAATTTATTTGCCTTATCTGACCTCAGCCAGCCTTCACCCCTCCTTTTGTCTCCTGGCCATGTCCTTTCAGAAACTATATGTTGGTAAAATAAGGCTCTGGTATTGAGGCCTTTAAGGAAACCAATAGTTTCAGGGATTTCTACCACCCCATGTTTGGTTCTGGTTATTTGAATACTCTGTAAGATGGTTTGAAATTTTGCTCAGGATTTGAATGAGCCACTGCCTAATGCATTTTATTTTTTTTTTTTTTTTTCAGAAGCACATATACATTGAGTCCATTACAACTAGTATAACATGTCCCATTTTTCTGTGTTCATTTCAACAGGGAACTTTTTATTCTGGCTTTAAAAAATAATTGAAAAAAAAACCCAGGTCATATAATTTAAGAATGTGGGTTTTTTTTTGTTCAAGTCATGGTAATCATGGTTCTGATTCCAGACCATTTGACTTGACTTATTTTTTGAACTAAATAGAAGTGCATTGGTTAATAGTCTTTTCAATGACTTTTGGAAATAAATATTATATTGGATGTTTGCCTCTAATTTTATTATGGCATTCAAAACAGTTTTTTGTTAAGAATCTGCAGTGTTTCAGTCGTAGTACAGCTAAGGAACTCTTTCAGACAAACACCCACACTCATTATGTATTCCCTGGCCAGCAAATGCAGACTGCCAGTCATACATTTCCTGACCTAATAAAGATATACACGATCCCATCTTCATAGAAAAATTGTACGCCGTTGAGAATTCTCGTTGCATTAGAGTTATAGAAGCAATTGTTGGACAAACAGGATCTCCCCTCCTACTCTTTTACATCTCTCAACTCTGATTTGGTCATCTGCTCCACCCAAATTGGATTTTTATTTGCTAGTGCCTGTACACACCCCATCTGCTAAACTCGATGGTCTCGTTTTCTGATAGGAAACCTGTCGTTTTCATTTCCATCCCTCGCTTTCACTTTCTCCCATCAACTTGTTCTTTACAAGAGGATTAGATTCTTTCACTCTGTCTCTCTCCTCTTATCTCCTCCTCCTACTTAAAGTCGCCAACATTAAATCAAATTAGGGTCAATGGTGCAGTGTGGGAGCTAATCCGGCAGCACAAAGAGGCTTAGGAGATGCACCTCCTGTTCCCAGATATTAAAAGTCAGCTGTGAAATAACAATTTCTACCATCAAAGCTGCAAGCAGATTTAGGGGTCGGGTCTGCGGGATATGAGTCAGCCACGCTAACATCAGAATGAAGGGACTAAATGAAAATGCGCTGTACAACTCACACACCCGGATAGCAAAAAATAATCTGTTTATTGCCTTCTTTCCTTCAAAAGTTGTCACAAAATGTATTAGAAAGCATCCATTTCTATCATTGGCTCTGATGGGATTGGTCTACATAATCTGTCCAAAAAGTATTTATACTCCTTGAAGTTCTTAGTTACAAACTTTCATTATTCAGGATGACTTTGATAAAACACTAAAAGTTGTGCATTTTTAGAATAGAAAATCCCTTTATTGTTCCACGATGGGGAAATTGAAATAAACAAATGTGAAATACATGTTATGAATGTATACAATTTGATAGATATTCATCAAATCCCAGCCAAGTAATTACATTTTAGAGGTTATCTAAGTTCACCTGAATGGAGTTCACCTATGAAAACCATCAAGACAAAGGAATACACCTGAATGGTTGTGGATGAAGTGTTAGAAAAGTTAAAAGCAGAATACAGCAATAGATGAAATAATGCCAAGAAATCAAATTTTAAATTTCTCTGAGTACCCCCTTTGAAAGTGCAACTGATTATAAGATGTAAAACATTTAATTTCCTTAAGTTGAACATTTATTGCTCAATTATTGCATTATTTTCAATTAGAATAAAAAATAACATCAATATGTTCCCTGGAAGGTGAAAAAGTACTAAAAAATATGCAAAATAAAATAATTTAGAAACCTTTTTTTTTTTTACAAAAACTGGAGCTTCTCTTGAAAGGTCACCTATAAACAAATCAAATTCACAAATCAGGAAAAAGAAATTAACAAAATAATATTCCGATTCACTGTCACTTTTTTCTCATTTTTGAATCATCATTCACTGTGTTAATGAAACACCTTATCTTCTCCCAAATCCACAGCAATGGGACATTTCAGTCCTTTATCCTTGACTGAGCTGGTTTGGTGTGTTCTTCTCCATTGACATTTGTCTTTTCCCATTTTCCCCCTCTGACGCACACCGATACCCACTCTAGTGTTTCATTTAAGTGTTGATTAGGACATTTTCTTAGTATCTTTTCTGTTGATACATAAAATCTTGGTTTATTTTGCATTTGGGTCCTTACTGAGAAAAATCCATCCCAGCTCTATTTTATTGTATTTCTCTACTTGGGAAGCAAAATATTAAATGTTTTCACATAATGCACAATGTATTGGCAGACCACCAGGGGTACTATTTCCCCTGGTTGGGAATCACTGCAGCAGAGGACACGGTAACCATGTGGAAAAGATGCTCTTATCTGAGAAAGACAAGATGATACTTTTGGCCAACATGCAAAAACTATTTGTGAGAGATAATCTCTAATCTACCAATATATTTCAGTTTACTAGTCAGGATGGCATTTGGTTAAACTGACTTCAATTAGGGTTATCACAGTAAAAAAGTATCACAATTATAAAACACACTACATCTTTTTTGGGTTTCAATGTGGAAAAAGGTTCAGTAGGTACAAACACCTTTAATAATAAAAGTACACGTTTCTGAGCAGATAATGAATGTGTACCTCCACTCTCTTTTGATCTGCAGGGTACATTACAGAAGTTTGTTGACGACCTGTTTGAAACCATCTTCAGCACCGCCCACAGAGGCAGTGCCCTGCCGCTGGCCATAAAATACATGTTCGACTTCCTGGACGAGCAGGCAGACAAACACAGCATCCATGACCCACATGTGCGACACACATGGAAGAGCAACTGGTAAGTTAGAATCAGCATTTACTTGTGAATACAGTTGTTCACATAACAGGAGGTGGTTACTTTGACTGTCATATTTGCTAATTTGGGTTGTAATGTGGCTTCTTTCAAAAGCCTCTAGTATGTTTTGGCACACTTACCATAGGAGTTCCCTGTTCCTGCCAAGTTCCTCCATGTGCTTCTTCTCTTCTTAATACCCATTAGCCACAGGGGTGTGTAATCTTCGTTAAAGCCATCCACAAGAGGCTAATCCAATTGGCTGCCAAGACTCCCCATTATCATCATGGGTTACTGGGCCAAAATATTGCTTGTCACTGTGGAAATCTCCATAGTGACAAACATGCACTTCCAGGAATACACCTCTAAATTAATATCCGCTTATTAATTTAGGACACGTTGATCTCTGTGAACCCACTTTATGAAGCCTGGTTGAAGTTAAATAACCAGTTGTGGACATGAATGGGAACTGGAGAGAAATAAAAAGGTGATTTAGAGGATGTGGATGCAATGGGAGCTAAATACACTGATAACTCGTTAGCCCCGTGGCCCCTGTCAAGATCCCAGCATGTATTACACAATGCAAGGCTATGTAGGACAAATCGAGAGAGAGGAATAGATCCTAAGAGGCCAAAGAGGAAATACTTGCTTTTTATCATATTTTATATTTCTAGTGTCAGCAATATTAGGCAATTAAGGCTTTTCCGACAGTAAGTTTTGTTGCATTAGTTACTTAATGGGGTCTAACTACCATAAATGCTATAAATGAACAGCAATCTATCATTGGAAACTCTGACAAAGCTGCAGAGATTGAGCCAGTTTATTTAGCTACTTGGGTGTGCATCTGCCTGCACCTTCTGTCTGAATATTCATAAGTTTAAATCATTCAGAGGACTGGAATATTAGCTGTGACAAAAGCTCTCATTTTGTCCTGCAGTTGAAAATAATGGTGCAAGCATCTCCTCCAAGCTGAGCCCCCATTCCATTAAACCCTCTATTCTCATTGTCATCATACACACCATTAACCTCAGCTGCAGCGAAAGCTTCCAGTGCAACCCCTAACTCCCATTCAGGGTCCCCCTTCAGTATCACAGTATAGCTCTGGCCTTAAATTATTCCACCTACCATTTTCCTCCTATGTCATTTTCATAAGGTTACTAATGGTATTACTATGGCATTATGTTTTAAATAGAATAGTCTCTACTAAGAATCTAAATCTTTATGTTCAGTTTGTTCTGCAAGCTGTCAGAACTTAATTCCAGTTGGCCTTATTTCACATGCCCTGAAACCCATATATATTTAGTAATAATAAATATTGAGTGTTTTTATTCTGCATTGCATTGAGTTCTGCTATAAATTTATTTTTGCAATAGGTCTCTACATATTTGAATCACTGGCTCTAGAAGCCTCTCCAGATGGTATCCTTTGGATTAATGGCACTGTGTCGGCGTCTGCTCACATCTTCTCTCTTCTGTTTTTTGCCTGCCTGTCGATTACAACAGTGTGTTTTTCGTGTAGAGGAGATAGAAGGAAATTTAATTACTGTGCAGAACTGTCACATAGATGTGGATCATCTGTCCTCAGTGCCACTGCAGCAGCTCGCTACTCAAACTATAAACAGCCCTGTTAGGAATGAAATACAGATTAGTGTATGTTCTAGTCATAATTAATGTGTCATTCTCTTAAAAATTTGCATATTGCCTTATAGAAGCCCTTGCTTCAGAATAGCCCACTGGATTGTATTTGTGAAGGTTGTCTCCTTTCAGACTACATTGTAATACTTCTAGTGTCACATGTCTAGCCGTTTGCGTGTTGATGGTAATTATATTTGTTACTGATGCAATTCAAGGAAATTAACATCATTGTGTAAAGTAAACAGGTTTTATAGCGCCTGTGATTAGATATCCTCAGTATGTATATGAAAATAACTGTTCACTGTGGATTTATCTTACAACACATGTGTCTGAATACCTTAAATGTGATTGTGTTGTAATTTATGGATGAGATTATTGTCCCTTTGCAAGTTAAAGAACAACAACATATTTTTTTTAACAATCAACAAGTTTATGGCAAAGTTTTGGCTGTATTTTATCAATGTTCTAACTAAAAAACGTAGAACTTATTTAAAATAGTTTGCTTTCTTGGGTCGGACCCAGTATTTATAAAAATAACTTTATTTTTTATATAAACGTAATAGTCTTCAGTTAAATGGGTTAATGCCATTTCTTAATGTGTTTTGTACTTCACCTACTTAAATCCCCCCTCTCGTATCAAAGTCTGGCTTTAACTGTAGTAAAGGGGAAGAAAATGTAGAAAATCTTCTTTTATCATGTCATTCACTTTATGCATGCTGCAGTGCCATGCAGGAAAACAAACAGCAGGGACCTTGCTTGATAATTTAAAATGATTCTTGCAGTAGGTGTTTAAGATCATATTGACACTATCCTCCCAAAACGTTTTCATAATTTCCCAGGAAACATTGTTAACTATATCACTTAATTATAAATTAAGAGGCTACATTCATGCTACTGGTACAATAAAAAAATATTTCTACTATAATGCTAAGCAATACATTTGCCCTTATATATAAATAGCCATGGAAAGATTAGTAGACCCTCCCTCTTTTTAACTTTAATTTTCTTGTGCTTATGGTATATTACCTGAAAAATACATTAAGCAGAAAACAGAATATGGGAGATAATGTTTTCCTTCATGACTGTATTTTCCCCCTCAAATTCGCATTGAAAAATACTTTGATCCAAAAAGGATAATAAAAGGTATTGTAACTCTCAGGGTTTGTTTTCAACAAGCTGGTGTGGTATACATTAAACGCGTTGGGCAGGGAGGTTCTCATATAGCAGTCGTCTTGCAGTGGATCTGGAAAAAATTTGAAGACATTGTTATTTTCCAACAGTCTTTTGGTGGGGTTTCTCACTGTTGTCCATAATCAATTCTTCTTTATGAAATGATTCTAAGAGGTTATACTGTAGAAGGGTTCCCCCCCTTAAGACAGGAAGAACAGCTTGAACTCTCGACAACAACTTTAAGAAGATATGCAGCATCTTGCTGCAAAAACTGAAGGACCTCAGCTTGTTTAGGAGCAGTCTGAAGGATGTCCCTTTTTATAGACTGCTTCATAGTTGTCTGTTGTCCAGGTGAACACAGAGGTATTTATACTCCTCTACCACTCCACTTCTTCTCCCATTTTAATAGCATTAAAATTATTCCCATTTCCAAGAAATCTATAATTTCCCATGTTTTATTCCCTTTAAGGTTCAGATGATTGTGTTATCTGAAGCTTTATTTTGATATTTTCTATAACCCCCCCCTAAAAAACAAAGAAACATTGTGATGGCCTTATCTGTGATTTCTCAGTGGCGATATAATGTGAACTTGGAAAGTAAACAATGGAACAATATCTTTAATGGCTCCAAATTTGCATCGGTTGAGAAAACATTTTATGGAAATTAGTGACCTCATGAAAAGATCATCCGTTTGTCTGATTTTTGTTGTGCTTGTTGATTAGAAAAAAAAGGATTGAAATAATTGTTTTATGGTGTGGGTTTCATTGTTTTTCTGTGTTCTTTTTAATTTTGATATTTTATACACGGTCATGAAAGACGTAAAACTACATACAACCCCAATTAAAGCAACTTTGTGTAAAGATCCCCATTAGCTGGCCTGCGTGGTCATGAATCAGTGGTAAGGGTCTTTTTATTGTTTCATGCATCACCCAGCATAATTCCTACTGGATAAGTGATGCCCTTGATCTTGGCAAATGATATTTCCCCCTTAATCCCTGACCAGAACTTCTGGTCTCAAACAGCATTCATATTACTAAAACTACACAGCATGAGCCAAATGTCAAATTTACATGCTTTGCCTGTTCTTCATCAGCAATGCACAAGAATGACTGCAATAGTTTTATAAATAAAATGACAAAACTGGTGTGGGGGGACTTCCTCTTTGTTGCTACCACTGCCCTATTGAAAGAGCAGATTGCCAACAATCGCAGCAGAACAGCAGTGTAGTTAATATCTCTTTGATCCCTTTTCCTAATCCCACTAGATTCTTTGCTTAGATTAATTTTGCAGTCATAATGCGTAGTTTCTTTCCCAACCTCAAATCCTCTTTTGTTCGATTGTAAATCTGAATTGCTTTTGTGCTAAAATTACTGCTTCCTGCCAGAGTTTTACTAGTATTTTAAATAACTGCATTTTACTTGTTTGGTCTATTTTACTCATATCCCTTGTTGTTGTGCCTCTGAAACCCTTGTATTGGCTAGAATGCACCGTCTACCCTGATTGATTTCTTTCCCCATATCACCCAAAAGCTTATATCCTAGAGAATGGTAAAGCTACAGTGATCCACACGGCTCTTTGTTAATACTACCTGAGCTCCTTTCACAGCAGCCCACAGATAAAGCCGGCCCTCTATCTATTTAGTCTGGCAGAAACAACCTCAGCAAATAAAAAGACTTGTATTTTTTTATTCTTTTGGACAGGCACAAAAATAGGACCCACTTGCACAAATAAGCCAATATGAATTGTGTCACAGTGCAGCCTCAAGTGAAGACTGCTGGACACTGTTGTTGATAAAATGAGAGTCAGCCACCACCTGGTTTTAAAGATAAAGGCTTTATTGAATTAGGCACATACAGGAGCAACAACAGCACCTGTGTACTGGCTTTTCAACATGATTGAATCTTCATCCCCTGTGGCAAATAATGTGTTCATGCCTATTGACTAGCTGACTGCAGCAAATTTAAAAATGGCATTTATAGACTTAATCTTAGAACAATCCAAATGAATACAATTGTTGTTTGCTTTGCCGCCTGAATTTGTGTTTGAATTAGCAGATGACTTTTAGATCACTCACATGGAGCTTGTGGCAGTTGTGTGAAATTGTATAACTTAAATTGAACATTTAGCGAAAGAAAACAAATGAGCAGAAAAACAGCAAGGCTGTATTCAAGCAATGTTTAACAAATTGCTCACCAATTCAAACACACTAAAAGGAAAGTTTCCACTTTGTACTTGAGTACATAAAGCAAAATACTGATTTACTCTCGACAGCATGAGAAAGAAGCAAAAGAAAATTTTTAAAACAAACTGGGATCCAGAGGGATTTTCTAGTGCTCAGTTTGCCTGTAATTTCCCACTGTGGACACTGACTGCTTGAGTCATGCTGCATTTTAACACAACAACATGCTCTTTGTATCAAGATAGGCATTTTAATTTCTGCTAAGTCTTAGCCTTGTTACTCTGATGTGCACAGACATGCAGCTAACAGACCATGGCGGCTGGCTTTACATGTCTGAGCCATGCACTGTGCTAGTTTCACACATAATCAGTGAGGCTTTAACTGTAATGCGGTATCATAACATTATTCTGAGGACAGTGTTTGATACTTTAATGATGTATAAATCTTATACCTTGAAAAATGGAATCTGTGCCCTTTAAATGTCTTTGTCATGTAACATTCAAAGTAGGTTTAAGGATAGAATCCAATATTAATCCTGTTTGAGACAATCGTCTGTAAAATAACATGTCAAGTGCAAATGATGTTCTGTTACAGTAGTTTGCTAAACTACCTTGCTGACCTTTTTTTCAGCCTACCTCTGCGCTTCTGGGTGAATGTGATCAAGAACCCCCAGTTTGTGTTTGACATCCACAAGAGCAGCATCACGGATGCGTGTTTGTCTGTGGTGGCCCAGACCTTCATGGACTCTTGCTCCACCTCAGAACACCGCCTTGGGAAAGACTCACCATCTAACAAGCTGCTTTATGCCAAGGACATTCCCAGCTACAAGAGCTGGGTAGAGAGGTGAGCATTCAGTGAATGGATGGGGAGAGAACTTACATTAGCTATGTGACTGTAGCACTGATATATGAGCTGTGAAACCTCATCCAAATTACAACTTGGTGAGAATGGATGTGAGTGCCTGGGGCATGAGAGCTGCAGCACAAAGAAAGTCAGTTGTTGGGACAATGCAGAGGCAAAATATTAGAGGGCAGAATCTTGCACTTTTAAAGTTAAGGCTGAAATGTTTTATAATCCTGACAAAAAACAGGGCTCTGTAAATTCCTTTAGAGTATTTATGAATGTTTCATAGCCCTAAGCAGTGTTTTCATCTTAAATCTAGCATCTTTCAACAGATTAATAAGAAAACCTTTTAATTTGGAACAGCAAATAATCTTTGCATTTCTGTAAAATTAGGTTGCATCCAGTATGTACACCTATCCGTAAGCATAATGAAAAACTAGGTATAAGTTTTATGGCTCAGTCAAACTAGATGCCATTTTGGGTGACAAATCAAAAAAAATATCCAGTGCCTTGTAAATGTATCCTAAGACTAATAATTTTTATTTTTTGTCAGGTAGCAGCCATAAACTTAAATGTATGGCATTATATGTTATATGCCAACAAAATGTAGTGGTTTATTTATAAGAAGAACTTGATGCAGGTTTCTCAAATGTTTCTGCATTTATAAATTTACCTTTTGCTGAAAACACACATCTGTTTTTGAACTTTGACTTGGCTGGACCGCTGTGGTTCTGGCTATAGCCTCAGCCCCAGGATTTTGTTCTTTAGTTTACCACCAAAGCTTCTTAATGTTGAAGGTTAGAATCCACTCAGCATGACGCTGCCATCACCTTAAAATGGGGATGGTGTTTACAAGGTCAAGGGATTTCCTTCCTCCTGAGCGAGGTTCAAATTTAGGACTTAAAGTTAAATTTTGGTTTAACTGACAAGGACACCCTTTTTCAGATCTGAAGGAAGCATTTCACCAAGTCTGCTTTACCTCAGACATAGCATTTGGTAAACATATTTTCATAACATCCCATCAACATAAACTAATGTTTGTGGTTGGAAGAAAATGTTAAATGTGCAAGGGGGTGAACATACTTTGCAAGGCCCTGTGATGTAAACCAATAGATAATATTTTGACTTTGAAATACTAAGAGGTTTTATTGTTCAGGCTTATTATTTAATTTGCAGTAGCATAAGAAAATAACCATAAGATATATTCTGAAATCTTTCTACTTTGATTCAGTTTTTCCAAATGATAGCAGTTTTCGTAGATAGCTGCCAATACAACCTAAAAGTGTGTGTTTAATTTCTGTACAGTTTTAAAAGCTGCACTTACTAAATGATAAAGGAATCATGAATCTACCACAGCCATCTGTGTACAAAGAGTTTACTTTGAGGCTAAAACAAACCCACCTGGTTTTTGCACCAACAGTCCCTTGCTAGTAGCTCACCATTACTGGCTTTCCAAAACTGAGCAGGTGTTGATGTGAGCTTGACCTCTACATGCAACACCCACCTGCTTTTTTCTTTGCTCAGTTGGTTCTGGAAGCTCGTCAGGCAGATGCCCTCACATTCCCAAAATTATGTAGCCATCCAGCAGGCTTGTCCTCAAGTGGCTGTGGCTACAGGAATTTAATATGTTAATAAGTCGTTTTAATTAACATAGCTGATATGGGAAACACAGCTGTTGCTGACACTGACTGATTGCCTTTAACTTAATGGAACCATGTGTGCATGTCTACTGTTTTGGTGCTCCAAGCTGAAATCTGATGAGGCAGCACAGACATGTTTTTCTTAATAACCTTGTAACAGTAGGCCGTAATAATATATTTTTTATAACAAATAATCTTGTTTTTCAACAGGTATTACTCAGATATTAGTAAGATGCCAGCAATCAGTGACCAGGATATGAACGCCTACTTAGCAGAACAGTCCCGGATGCACATGAATGAGTTCAACACCATGAGTTCTCTCAGTGAGATTTACTCCTACATTGGAAAGTACACTGAGGAGGTATGTAATACTGTTTCTTACACTTCTAGAGAATTCAGTGGCAGTGTTAAAAACTAGTATCTCATTTTTAATTGCAGTTTTTTTCAGACAAATTAAACAGTCTTGAGTTTAAAAAAATCTAATATTTTATTAGAATCTAATGAATACAGTACAATATATTGACTTGGACTGCTGTTAAAGCAACACTAACTTTTGACACAAGTAATTTATGGATGGATTTTTCAGGTCAGCATACAGCACTTGAGATGTTAAGATTTAATCTAAAGGGGTAAATGAGTTCTTGTCTTTACAAGTGCCCATTCTAGTTTGCCTATTGATCAAAAGTAACAGTGTTGCTTTCACAAAATACTCTTGTATTAATTGAATGAAAATAAACTAATTACAATTCATAGTCAGCTATGGGCTCCAGTTCCAGAGTCTTGCTAATCTGACCATTTGACCCAGGTGAGTTGAAGCACCCTGATCTATGGATGCCCCAAAACTTGTAACCCTGTGAGCAAGTAGGCAGTTACAAAAGATAGATATTAGCATCTTTTTCATGTAATTTCCAGATCCTCCGTCAGCGCTCCGCTCACATACGTCATGCAGAGCACTTGTGCAGTCATGTTAAGCAATGAGAACTGTTGCACATCACCGTCGACGTACATCTTCTCTGTCCCTCACTGTCAAAATACAGAGCCAAGCTATTTTTTGCTCCGGTCCAGCCAGGTCAAGATCCACAATTGCGATCCCACCAAACAGGAAAAAGTACGTTGAGAAGATCCGAATTGAAATATAGTAATGACAGATCGGTAACTACAAATTAGAGCATAATTCTTATACTGTATATTCCCAAAAACTAAGACCATTTAATTAAATTATTGGATGCAATCTATTGGTACTTAAACATATAAGGAAGCAGATTTCTCATCTCTATCAAAATATTTATTTTATACCAAGAGGCTAAAAGTTTAATCAAGTGCACTCTGATAACTTCTTATCGCAGGCATGAATGAAGAGATGCTGAGTTTTGACTTTTTTTAGTTACAAAAATTCAAAAAGAAAAATATTTGGGCATAAACTGCACATATGGTGGATGCTGATGGGGATTTTATTTAATATGTCATATTGAATTTAATAATATCGTGCATGCTCTCCTCGAACTCCAAGAAAGTTGGAGCAGAGCAAGACAGGAGGTTAATTAATATGACATGCCATCAGCATCCATCATACATGTTTCTTCCCAAACATTTTTTGTTGTGGGTCTTTTTAATAGGGATAATTAGGACTGTACACAATTGGTTTCTTTTCTACTTCCAAACTCAGCATCTCTTCATCCATGCCGGCTGCTATAAGATGTTTCTTTGGAAGTTGTTGTGACTGGATTTGAAGAAACTTTTAAGCCTCTCAGTATAATATAAATATTTTGATCTAGATTACAAAGCTGCTTTCTTGTGTACCAATAGTTTTGAGGAATAATAAGAGTTAAGCTTAAATTTGTAGTTACTGATCTATCATTAACATATTTAAATTTGACAAATCTGATCTTCTCAACATTCTTTTTCCTGTTTGGTGCGATTTCAATTGGGGATCTTGAACTGGCCGGTTTCCAATGGACCAGAGTGGAGCAAAAAATAGCTTGGTTCTATATTTTGACGGTGAAGGACAGAGAAGACGTAGGTGGACCTTGACAGTTCTCGTTTGATTAACTGACTGTGCGATTGCGCCGCACAACGTACGTGAAATCTGGGGGTAAGAGGGTGTGCCCAACCATTGTTGTCATGGTCACTTAGGTCAGCTAGTAGTGGAGTTGTTCACAGAGACGGTAAATACTGCAAAAGAGAAATAGTGAGTTAAACTTTACTATTAAAATCGTTTGACAACATTTCGCTTTGCATCCAGAAAGCTTTTTCAATTCAGTATGTCAGATATAGTGTTGAATTTGAGGCTTTATAGAGTGAACCGAAAACATGCACATTGAACCGAACGGGTCCGCCCCTTAGGAATGGGCAGTCGTTGGGTTCTTTGTTAGCCTGCAATACCCGATACCTGTCTCTGAACAGGGAGGTGCTTGCGATGATAGCGGGAAGGAATCAAATGTATCACTGTCCTTTGTCCATAAGGTGTATATGTACGGCCATGCGTTTGTGGAGAGGTTGTTTGGTTTCTCCAATATAAAGATCATAGCACTGAACTGCATACCGTACTCCGCTCATATTTGGTCTGGGGGGTTTGCCTTTAGGATGCACTAGCCTCTGTCTAAGGGTTATGTTTGGAGAAAATCCTTTTGGGTTTCCACAGGTTTGTAGAGCATCTTTGATCTTCCCTGGTGTTGTACGGTTCTGATGACTGAAAGTTTGTGTTCCAGTGGGTGGTGTGAGCAGATTTCTTATACTCTTCAATGTTGTTTTCATCTCCTTCCATGCTCACCAAAAAGTCCAGAAAAGGTTGGTTGTGGTCAACCAAGTTGATGTGAAAGCTTCCACTTCTTTTAGCTGGATTTTGACGAATGTGTGATCCACATATTTAAACCAATGGCTTGGTGGTGTTCCTCTGAAAGCATACAAAGCTCTCTTTTCAATTTCTTCCATTTAAAGGTTGGCTACAATTGGTGACATGGCAGATGCCATGGCAAAACAATGCTTCTGTCTTTAAAAATTATCCCTGAATTTGAAATATGTTGTGGAAAGACAAAGGTCCGGAGTGAAGGTAGTCCCAAGTGTTGAGGCCTGCAGTGCATCTTCCTTTGTCTGCTGGTAATTGTCTTCAACAAGACAGTGATCTAAACATCAGGACTAATTTCACTTCGGACCAGATCTGTACCCTACTGGACCTTTGTCTTTCCACAACCTATTTCTAGTTCATTCATTTTTACAGACAGAAGCATGGTTGTGCCATGGGATCTCCCATGTCACCAATTGTAGCCAACCTTTAAATGGAAGAAATGGAAAAGAGAGCTTTGGACACTTTCAGAGGAACACCAGCAAGCCATTTTTCTGAACTGTTTGGTGAGCATGGGAGGAGATAGAAACCTCAACATTGAAAAGTATATCCACTCACATAGACCAGTATCTTCTTTTTGACCAACACCACCCACTGGAACACAAACTTCCAGTCATCAGAACCTTACAACACCGGGCCGAGCATGTCCCCACTAAAACAGAAGGGAAGCATAAAGAACAGAAGCACATCAAAGATGATCTTCAAACATGTGGATACCCAAACTGGGTGTTTGTCAAATCAGCAACGGAATCCAAAATGCATGCAGCAGAACATAACCATCCCATGTGTCTCCAAATTCAAAATCTGAGTACATTTAAAAATAAACAAGACCCTTAGACAGAGGCTAGTGCATCATAAAGACAAAACCCCCAGACCAAATATGAGCGGAGTGAGGAATGTTCTGATCTTTATATTGGAAGAGCAACCTCCTCGGGACAAGACTTGGCTGTAGATATACACCTTATGGACAAAGGACAGTGATACATTTGATTCCTTCCCTCTAAAAACAAACCTTTCAGAGACAGGTATCGGGTATTGCAGGCTAAAAACAACTGCCCATTCCTCTGGTTCAATTTGCATGTTTTCGGTCCACTCTATAAAGCCTCAAACTCAACACTATTTCTGACATTTTGAATTGAAAAGGCTTACTGTATGTGAAGCGAAACGTCTTCAAACCACTATGACCTGGATGACTGAAAAACAAAACATAGTACCTGTAGTAATAATGTTCTATGTTTGCATCCCTGTCCTGCAGATTGTGTGTGCACTGGAGCAGGATGATGCAGCAAGGAAACAGAGGCTGGCTTTCAAGCTGGAGCAGGTGGTGGCCTTCATGAGTCTTGAGAGCTGAGGACCGCACTTCCCAGGGTGCACTGGGAAGAGACCCCGTCAGAAACCGAGCTGTGCCTGAGCGAAGACCTGTCCCCATGTTTTCCATCATCTGACTTCCACCCTCAGCTTTTCAGAGATTACTTCTTCCTCAACCTTTTTTCTGCTTCCCTCATCAACACAGCTGGATAGACTAGTTCACCTGAATATTTGTGAAGGGTAGTGTGCAGCTGAGGTCAGCGTCTCCTGCAGTGCAGTGTGGGGCGTCCCTCAGCTTCATCACTGGAGGGCTGTATGGGCACCTTCCCCCTGCTGGACGAAAAGAGGAAACAAATGTTATGTTGCCTTCAAGAATTTACACTGATAGTAAATCTTTGAAAACTATAACCTGAGGTGTCCATATGTTGAACTTTTAAAAATAGAATAGTTAAGATAAAATCATCTGGAGTTCTGTTTCATGTAGATCTAGATTCAATATATGGCATCAAGTGGAAACATCGAGACCGATGACTGCAAGCCAAATGATTGGCTCTGGGGATAATTCATGCAAGAATGGTTCGCCAAGTTTACACTGTACCTTCAAGCAAAGCATACATATCCGTAAAATCTGGGTCGAATCCAGGCAAACCTAGAATGTTTTTTTTTTGTGTTCTTGAAATGTAGCTCGGGTTGTATCTAAGGACAAGACTGATGGGGTGTGGGGAAGGAATATTGCTCCTCTGAACTTTTCCTCCCTGGAACAAAGCAGAGCATCCTCAGCCTTTAGCTCATTACACATTTTTACCTGCCTAGCATACCTTAAAAGATAGAAAAAAAAAAAAAGCTCATGATTTCTGCTTCCATTTGGCTTCTACAGCTACTGCTAAATTAAGCTATTAGATCAAATACTAGAGCCCCACCCAAGTTGGATCCTCTTTAAAAAGCACACAACCTACTCTGGAAGACAAATACCAGGAGCATTCTCTTCCAACGGTCTATCAAAGCACACACAAACATACACAAATGAAAAAAGCAGCTGCCCAGATACAACCCACCAATCCTAAAGGAGCTAAAGGGAAAAGCTGACTGAGATGCATGGGGTAAAAAACATCTTTACCAGTAAATCAGAATGACTGCTACCTAAAGGGGCTTTGTTGTCTGAGTAGCACCTCTTTTCCAAGATGTTATTGTTTTAGACTTTCATGAGGAGAAATGAAATGAGATGGACTTTGCTGGTCAGCCAAAAACCAAAGGAGCTTGAAATTTTCAAAAATGGTCAAAATGTATTTATAAAGTGCCACTGAGGAACTGACAAAAAAAAAACAAAAACCATTGTGACTGGAACTTTAAGAAGCCTGTGTGATTTTTCTGACCTCAGTGTGTCGAGGTGAGAGGCTCCGAGGGCGACATGATCCGATCCTCCCGGTCTCTCCTGCTCTCGGCACACCAGCTGCCCTTTTTGTCTGGCTCCTCGATTAACAGCTTATCTGTTTTGCACAAGCATTGGAGATGGTAGCTAGCTGCATATGGCAAAACTCCAATATCTTGAGGCACTCTTTCTGTCTTAGTGTAGTTGTCCTCAGTGGTGGCAGGGGGTGGCCTTCTCCAAGCCTCAAAGGAAAGAAACAAAATTCTGTTTAAGCATCAAAGACATGAAGAGTAATTACAACTTGTCGGATTTAAGCCGCCAACATGAGAGTGAGAGAGCGACTGAAAGCGATGATGGAGGCGCCCTCCACACCTTTTGACCTCTGCCCTTTCTTTTGCCTTGACAACGTGCCCCATGTGGTGATGTGAATGTGTGAAGACCGCCCTAGGTCCACCTTGGGTCCTTTATCGGCTTTTTAAGCGCATGTAAAACGTAAACCATTTAAGAAACTTATTTAAAAAAAGTGAAAAACAAGAAAACTAAGCCTTGCAATGATGATGTGGATGTGTTCTTTAATCTTTCTTTTGCTTGGAAGAACCGAGGTGGGGAAAAGTGGACTGTTTATGTAAGAAAAACTGCTGTTTAAGGTGGAACCTTTATCTAGTTTGGCCTCCTGCGGAATCTCCTACCCACAGTTTTTGTGAAGCGGTAGTTGCTAAATATTACAGATATTTACCTTTGCATGTTGACCTATTTGGATGGTATGAAATGGAAATGCCTTGCTCAAAGATATGTATACACTTCTGCAACTACTAGGGAGATTTAGGTCGACCATGTCCTTCATTACAGGCCATCGGTGCCTCATGTGTGGTTCAATATTTGGCTAAGAAAACATAAGCCTGTTGGGTTTTTAAGAGTATTCCTGCAGCTGATTATATCTTTGCCTGTTGAGCTGGGACAGAAAAGAATTATACTAACGAAAACCAACCGATCTGGTTCAAATTAAGATCAAATTACTTTGCGCTAGGGTTGCACCAAGTTCTTTCATTTATCTTAGGTTGTTTTTCTAACTTGAACCTGCTGATATCAATTCAAAGTTTTTCTTCCTAGCCTTCCAAGGTTAATCATTTATCAGAAGCAGAGTTAAATATTACGCATTATATATCAGGGCTCCTAGATCTGGTGTTCTGCATCTTTTGGATGTGTCAGATAATCAGGTCATTCAGGTGAGGAAGCAGACACATCTAAAAGGTGCATGACACTAGACCCTAACTTTTAAGTAATGAGCTGGATTACCATTAATACTTTTAAAAAGGTTAAGTGGAGTCCCTACAAACATTAGACCCTAATTTTTGCTCTAGAGATGCCACACTCCACTACGACAGAGGTCTCCCGGTGTCCTGCATGTTTTAGAACAGGCATGTCCAAAGTCGGTCCTTGAAGCCCGCTGTTCTGCAGGTTTTAGCACAAGCCTGTTAATCAGCTATTAATGAAAATTAGCTAGGCTGGAGCAGGGAAGCCTCTAAAATCTGCAGAACAGTGGCCTTTGAGGACTGACTTTGGGCATGTCTGTTTTAGAAGCTTCTCTGACGCAACCAAATCAGATGACTGCAGTTTAGTGAAAACCTCTTATTACAAAAAAAATCTAATGCCTGGTTCAGAAGGCAATACTGTAAAATTGTTAGATGGCTTTCAAAACCTCTGGTCCTACAATCTGTGGTGTGCAGCTAAACAAATTTCATGTCAGATGGGAAATCTAACAAAATCAATCAAACGTGGTTGAGCGTTAAGTAAATGTATGCTCTTCTTGGACTAATGTTACCAGGAAAAATGGAACAGGAATTTAATTGCTAAACCAAAATTCACACTAGGATATCAGGACCAGGTGAACAAGAAAGCTTTACCACAAACTGGACACTGGCCCTTGAGGACTGACTTTAGACACCCCTGTTCCAATTAAAACATAAGAGTAATTTCAGCCATCCTGGAAGAAGTTTACTTTAATTCCACTAGATTCTTGGGAAACACAACTAAATATTTTCAAGGCAGCTTCAAAACTTAACATCTAATGGTTAACAGCTCCTTTCACTGTATGCAAAAGTAAAATAAAATAGTCACTAAATCCCCTGTAATCCTTCCTGAATCAACAGCAAACATGTCTCTATAGAAAGTATTATCTTTCTAAATACTGTCAGTCGATAGGACATATTGAACTTTCAAAACACATAGCTAAGTATGAGACTCCTTTCTTCAAAGACTGTTACTGGAACCTACTTCTCCTTAGATATGATGCATTCACTGATTAGAGGGGAAATGGCATAAAATCATGAGTTTCTGGCTGGATGGTCAAGCTAAAAACAACCTTTTTCTATTCTCAGATAATGAAAAAGCACAAACAGAGTTCTCGAATGTTATTTGAAAACTGCCTTCTCAGTGCTACTTTGCATCTTTTCTTTTTCCCTGGCTCAACATTTATTCTCCAAAGGTTCTCTGCTTGTAGCCAACTCATTGACAAGAGCACAGATAAAGTTTCCACCTTCAAACATTTTATAGGAATCGAAAATGTCCTCCTAGCTCAGTGTTATCGCAGGTGTTATACCAACATGGTAGAAAATACTTTTACTAGATCATATCTGAAAGATAAAGAGTATCTTATGGAGAGATAAAAACGAAACCCGGGGGATTATGAGGTGAGCTTCTCTAACTTTGTTATAATTAATTGTATACCTGTGTATGTAAATATAATGCATTCCTATTTTGCAGTCAAGAACAAAATACTATTTGTAATATAGAATAAACTTTATTATGAAACAAAAGGCTGACTCGTTTTTCCTCATTTCCTACAATGTATTAATGTTTGGGTTTAATGGATAAGATATGCAATTCAATTCTGATCCCTTCAGTGAAAGGAAGGTACATTAATGACAGTTAACATCTAAGGATGCAGCCTACCTTTGGGATGTGTGAGCAGCAGCTGTGTGGTGGCAGGATAAAGACCACTGATGATCGAAGTCCCCTGTAAAGCACACACAAAAAGACCAAAACATTTTAACTATAACCTTCAAGAAAAACATTTTTCAAATTTCCACGATAATCTGTGCAGCTTTTCTCAATCTTATGCTTGAAATTAATAAGTTTACTATTCATAACTCAAATATTTCAGAGTCTGTTCTTAGACAATTCCTAGTTTGTTTGTTTGTTTTTTTTTTACAATCAATCTCTTTACTGGGGCAGGTGTGGTGTGAAGTAATGCATGCACTGTAAAAGAGCACTAAAAAGCTATAATTTAAAGCAGGAACAAGACAACCAGTTCAATAAACACTGTCAAAGTGACTGGTACTTAAAATACAACTTTCCAAATCAATGACAAAGACATCTTAGACAGTTGCAGTAGAATGCAAAACAACATTTACCTGCACTTTAATAGCAATCAAATATTTAACAACTCTGGACTGTTTAGCAAATAAGAGGAAATGATCAATGCTATTATTATGACTAGCTTTATATAGAATGCAGATCAGTGCTCTGTATCAGTACTAAAATATCAGAAAAATCTGGTATTGATGCATCCCTGTTGCAGCAAAAAAAGAAACGTCACCATCATTGCAAAGACTAGCTGCTAAAAGAGACATTTATCTAAACTTTTTGCAGCTTGCTGATCTGATAAAGAAGTCATGTTTACTGGACAGGGATGGTGCAGTCAAGGTGGCTGCAGGGTATCACTGTTCCACGTAGGACAGTGCTGCCCACTCAATTTTTAAAGGACAGAGAGGGGCTAATGCTCAGAGAGCAGAATTCATGTATAAATTAAACAAAATACCTATTTGGATGTGATTTTGATGAACAGCATTAAAACAGTTACAGCTCAGAAAAGCTGTTTTAGCATGATACAGACCTTTAAGATCAACAGATATCTAATTCTGCGCAAATAAGCATGTAAAATACTTTCAGATGCAAAGATCTAGAATTTAGATTTGACTTTTCTGACCAATAAGAATGCAGTCTTGCAACACTCAAAGGCAGTGCAATTTTCGGAAGCTTTTCACGTTTTAGCTTGATTCCTGTATTCTGTCTGTATAAAACACAACTCGTATAAATTAAGACAATATATGGATTAGTTTTAAAAAAATCTTTACATGTGAATATATTTATTTTGCATCTCATGTTTAAACACAATTTGACTGTATAGTTGTTTTTAATTATTCATCTTATTTTCTCAGCTGATGAAATTTGACATTTCATCAGCCAAATAAACTACACTTAAAAAAATATTTGAAATTACAAGCTAATACAGCTGAAGAAATCCACATTAACGAGGTGATTATCTCACCCCCATCATTCTATCCACTTGGTTCTTGCCTCCTTCAATCCCCTCTTACTTTATTTTTTCATGAATAACTCTCATATATCCAAACTTGGTGCACAAAAACTCCGTGTTCACAATCACATTGATTAATTATCAAAACTGCTTGTAATTAGCTTTGAAAATATAAAATAAAGAACACTGATCAAACTGAACCAATGCTTCCTTGATTAACAAATATAAATAGATCAACACACCATATCATGGGGCAGCTGCCCGTCAACATGAAAGCAATAGGTTAATCCTCTGCTTCTGTAATGCAACAAGTTACCCCCGGCTACTGTAATAATGGTCTACAGTATACACCAGATTTTCTCAATCAAATAATGCTTAAATTGGAGACAACTTCAGTCAGGGACAGCCTATCTAAATCAAGACTGTGTGCGGAAACCTGGTCACCATATTCTTATTGCTTTTAGCCCTAGCACCATATAAAGTACTAACAGAACATAAACAAGTAGGTAAATTTAGCTGAACACCACACCTGCTATTAATTACATTACATTTCCTACAACACACAAAACTAATGATAGAGCAAAGCCATTTTAGCCGACACAACTTTAGCCTAAACTTAAAGAGATCTTACCTTT